ACAAGTTTATTATCTCTCATACCCGTGCCAAACTGTAGAACGTCTTAAGGGTTGGGATGTTGTGTACAAGGTATCGCCACACGGAAAACTACATGTCCCAAACAATCAAGATTACAACATAGACCCCAACACATATGATAGAGAGTTCTTTCAAGAAGATGGGCTCAAAGGGAGGTTTGAGATAGACTTAACCGAAGCTCAGGGTATGGAAGTAGACAATGAAAGTGGCACTGACGAGGACGCCATAGACGAGGTTCAGAATGTGAAGGACTTAAAATTACTTCAGCGATTACGTCTAAGCAACGACGGTGATGACGACATTCCTCCTTCGGAGCACGGGGATGATTATATCGACATGCGTGATAGTGGTGATGAGACCTATGATCCAGCTAATCCCGATGATGATGATTATTTCTAATACATGTATGATCCATGCTAATTGATTTATTATTTGTCATACCATGTTATTTTCTAAGTATGTTTTGTTTATTTTGCATCTATTTTGATGTATTATCTGTGCTAATTGGTTTACTCTTTTTAATTATAGGTGATTGAACAATGGTGTGCGGTATGAGGAGAATAACGTCGTTTTACTCAAAAGCGACATCGATGCGTAAAGGGTCCAATGTAGTTGAGGGGTCTAGGAAGAGACCTCGGGGTAGACCCAAGGGTCGAGGGACGGGTGGAGGCAAGACGAGGCAACTGTCGCCTATACCTTCATCGCCGTCTGAGTTACCTTCCGCTCACTCATCCTCTGAGGAGGAGGAGGTATAGGTGGAGGAGGAGGCAGGGGTGGAGGAGGAGGCAGGGGTCGAGTAGGAGGAGGCAGGGGTGGAGGAGGAGGTAGGGATGGAGGAGGAGACAAGGGGTACCTCTTCATCTACTTCGTCGCGTGTGTGGTTGCGAGGTCCCTTGACCCTCCTGAGGCGACCGATACCTCTTAAGAGACGCCCGCTGATTCGACCCGATGAAGACAAGTAAGTAACTTTATATGTTATCACTAATTTTTCATTTGATATGTTCAAAATTACGATAGAAATTAATAATTTATCTTAATCACTTCGATAGGGTTTGGAGGAAGGTCAGCGGGGGTGATCACGCACGCCATGTGAATGGCATCCTTGGTCTTTTGATCAAGGAAAAGTTCCCTGGCCTGGTGCAGTTCGGTGGAACTGTCGAGCCGGCCTACACGTGGGCCCACTATGCCACTGTCCCCGACACCCCTGATTGTGATGGCAGGGTATTCGCCGACAAGGCACAGCGTGTCAAGGCCGAGCTTTGGGTAAGTCTTTCTCGCACTACTTTGCTCAATACATCGCATTGATTGGACATTCTTGAAATAATGACTAGATACATCGCGTCTATATGTAGGATTTCTTTAGATGTGAGGAGGGATACAAGGCCAAGGTGGATGCTGTGGCTGACAAAGCCACCAAGAAACTCGTCAAGGACATGCACTACGAGACGCGCATCTAGGCCATGATCCAATACCACGCATAATTTCTTAGAGAGAGGATCCCTAAAAGGGCAGCAAGAACCATGAGCCTGACCCCGGAACAATACCTGAAGGTAAATATAGAATATTAATACTTATTTTTTCTGAGATTAATTACGCTTAATTCCATCTTCTTATATGTCATATACTTGATGACGTAGGTGCCTCGTGGTGGTGCGCCTACGATCTACAGCGCTGGGCCCGGATGGTGGACAGGTGGTACGACCCCGCATGGGAGGAGAATCACAATGCTTGTCGGGAGCGGCGTTTGCTGATGTCGGGTGCATCACACCATCAAGGCAACCTCAACCTCTCAGAATACGTGGCTAGATGGGTATGCGAATTCATTTCTTTATTCTAACGCTCAACTCTGCATAATTTCTAATCATATTGCTTTTTTTTGTAGTCGGCGGCATATGGTGGCGAGCCTTGCTCCTAGATCATGGCATATGCTTTGGCCCACAAGGGGAAGGCAATGTCCGACGTCGCCTACAACCCAGAGGACCCGTCCTCGGCGTATAGCAACGAGTCCATCCACAGCCGCCTCGATGAATACACATAGATGGCAAGGCTGGTCCATGGCCCGAGTACGATCCGAGCGCCCATGACCTTGATGGAGAAGTGGTCATGAGGGCGGGAGGAGGCAAGAAGCATGGCCGGTTCTGGATTGGCGACGACACAATCGACACGGCCAGTACTCCCACTCTCTCCCAGATTCGAGCACGGAGCACGGGTTCTAGTCCGGCGATACACCCACGATCGGACTTTACACGGTTCCAGATGTTTGAATATATGAGGGGTGTATATGCTGCAATCGGTCAACCTCCGCCACCGATGCCTGTCCTTCCTCCTCAACCTGCTCCAAATACTGTTTTAGGCACTGTGAGTCACTTTACAACCTTATAATCACCGTTTCTAGTTTATGCAGAATCAATCTTATAAAGATGCCCAGACACTAGAAACTTAGTGACTAATGTTATATGTTTGTTACCAACTAGTACTTAAGCAATCATACTAGAGCACAATGCAACTGAGAAGATATTGCTGATAGTTGCAAGGGTTATACTAGTTAGGCAGCAGAGAGACCATACGTGTTGTTCAATCTTGTCTCACACATGCAATCTCTTCTCCTTTGTGCAGCATCAATCGGCGGCATCGAATGAGCCTCATGATCCAGCGTGGTCGCAGTGGAACTCGTGGCCTAAGTGATTTTATTTGCATTTATGGATTATCTGTGACTACTTGTGACTATTTATGATTGTGAATGAACCTACTTGTGATTATGAAGTTTATTTGCATTAATGTGTTGTCGATATATCTATATGAACTGCATGTGATGCCTATTGTGAACTATCTGTGATGCATGTGATGTTTATTTGAATGTGGTACGTGGCTGTGACCGAACCAAATAAACTGATTATATGTGGCAGCTTTGTCGAGTGTTACACTCGACAAAAGGGCTATTTATCGAGTGCCATGAAAAATACACTCAGCAAAGTGGACACGTGGCAAAATTCTATGCATTTTGGGACTAAAATGGCTTTTTTGCCGAGTGTCTGCGCTATGACACTCGACAAAGAAGCTAAAATTCTGTGCATTCTGGGACGTGTTTACCGAGTGCCTGGTATTCGACACTCGGCAAAGGACGAAGGTTTGCCGAGTGCCTAGAACTTGACACACGGCAAAGGAAGAAGCTTTGCCGAGTGCCTGAACTTTGACACTCGGCAAAGAAGCAAAGTTTGCCAAGTGCTTAAAATTTGACACTCGCAAAGAAGGAAGGTTTGCCAGGTGCCTGAGATTTTACACTCGCAAACGCGCCGTGACCGTCTCCACTCCGTCACGTTACTTTTTTTCGCCGAGCGTCGGTTTTAGCTCTCGGCAAAGTCTTTGCCGAGTGCCCGATAGAAAATACTCGGCAAAGAGCCGTTTGCTGGCACTGTAGATGTCGTGTACTGTTTGCCGAGTGTTACACTCAACAAATCCTTTGCCGAGTGTTGTTTGGGCTGTGGCATTCGGCAAAGCGACTGTTTTCGGTAGTGCGTAAAGGACGGACCGCACCACCTGCGGGTGGCCGCACACATACGGGACGGACGGTGCCACCTGTGGCCGACGGCAGACAGGACAGGACGGACGGCATCGGCGGCGAACCGACGGGCTACGGGGGCACCACCCAACGACCGAGGCCAATCGCCATCGCCGTGGTACTTCCGCAGCCCTGCGGCCTTCCCTATGACGCAGCTGCCAGAACGAGCCTGTCAGATCCGTCTTTTGGAGTTGCCTTTTTGCTCCAAGTCGAACTGTGGAACGTTCAGCTATAGCTTGGGATCAGACAGCAGCTTATGATCTGTAGAGATTCAAGCATGGCAAGATCAACGTGGCATCCTGGAAGGCGTATATACTCTGAACGGCTATAGCTGCTTATTCCGCACTTCAGTTCTTCTTGCATCTAATTCAGACATCTGACCAGCTCTCAAGAGCACCATTGTTCTTCCAATCTGTCATGGGATCACCCACGACGTGGGGAGGTTGAGCCGGAACCAATCGGACAGTGAAGCCACCCGCTCTGTCGCGTCTGCCGCCGCAGATTCCACTGCCAGTCCCATCCGCCCCCATCTGCTGCCGCCTTCACCGTTCGCCCCGTCCGCCGCCGTCCATGCGCCAGTGCCCGAATGCAGTGCGGGGAAGGCGCCTCGATCGCTCATGCCGCCGTCCACCCTCTCGATAAGGCATGTTCGTAGCAGAAATGCCCCGCTACGGGATAACGGGAGAAGAGAGATCAATAGATCATGGGGAATCTGGGCTGTGGTACGTGGAGGGCTGGGTTTTCTTTGGGCACAAATAGGACCGACCCAATCCAATTCCAAAACAAAATTAATTATAATTAACCACCCCGGTGCTTTAAGATTCGTGCAATTTTGTAAAAGAGGACCACCAGAACAAAACTCTCTCCTTAATTATTAGTTGTCTGTTTATGAGATACAGTATTATATGTATTATATTTTATTATTGAACTTATTACTCAGCAGAAGGTTACACAATACTACAAATAGTACTCCAAAAGAGATGTGTTGGAAAACAATTAAGCAATATAGCAACTAGCGGCATGTCCTGAAAAGAAGAGAAGTTTGTTAACCAAATGCGCAGGTCGATAATACTAGTCTATACCACTGTATAAATTATAAAATGACCTTGTGTACAATATGCCTGGATCAGGAATATATATAAATAGACTGCCGTGTGAACAAAACACAACACCTGCATGGAACACGAAATTCAGAAGAGGAACACAAGAACAATGCTGAAAGCATCCTCACTAGGAGCATATATATAAACTGTGATTTAAGCCACAGTCGAAGGTACCGTTTATTAACACACGACAAATTAAACATGCAGCCAGCTTGGATTGATGCAGAGTGTCTCAAGTCAAGCCAGCCGTGAAACGTGAGCTAGCACACAAGTGCTTTATTTGGCGACGGATCAGCGCAAACCTGCCGACCACGAGAGGCTAGCTAGCTGGTCCGCTGCAGCCTGTGGAGCAACGCGGCGCGAAGGGCGCGGTCGTCCCGCAGCGCGGCGGGCAATTCCCCGACGGCGTCTGCACGGTCATGCCGCCGACGAGGCACACGCACGAGTGCGGCACGGTCAAGTCCAGCGACCGGAGCGCGAGCATGAGGCGCGCGGGGGGGGGATGGCGCGCCGCCGCAGTCGTCGTCAGGCGCAGCGCCGCCGCCTCTGTCCCGACCATCCGCACCTCCAGCTTCTCTCCGAGGCTGCTGCTGCTGCTGAACGAGTGCGAGGGCGCCACCGTCGTGAGAGCAGCGGCGGCGGCCTTCTGCTTGGCCTCGACCTCGAGCTGCCCAACGCGTTGACGCAAATGGGCGATGTAGGTGGTGGCGTCGGCGAGGACGGATGCCTTGTCCATCCGGGACACGGTGGGCACGGCGGCCCGGAGCTCGCAGAAGAGGCGGTTGAGCTTGTCCCGCCGCTGCCGCTCCGCCTCCACATGGCAGAGGGCGGGGCCGTTGATGTTGTTGCGGGACCCTGGTTTCCTGCCACGCCTCTTCAGCGCAGGTGCTGCCGGTTAGACGGACAGGTGGTCGTTGCCCGGCGAGCGCGAGCGCGAGACCTCGCCCCCCAGCCATCCCTTCAGGACATCAGAGGGCACGAACTCGTGCTCCTGGTGGTGTCCAGCGTTGGAGAACGAGGCCGGGGAAGGACAGCTGCTGGAGGAGGCAGGGAAGACCAGCTCATCCATTGGACTGTGGCACTGTATGTGCTGCTGCAGCTGCAGTGTATGCCTGTAAGGATATAAGTTTAGATCTGGTAGTGTCACGGTGCCGATGGAGAGGAACTTACGGGAGCGCGGCCGTTCCAGCTCGTTTTTAAGGTGTCATCTCCAACTCCAACAACAGTACGGGGCCGTTTGGCCGGGATGCTACCCGCTCCGACTCATTTTTAAGGGTAGAGTTAGGATTTAAACAAGGAGATTGTTCAAAGCCGACAATGATCATATGCGATGAAATATATACATGACAAGAATATAGATAACAACAAAGTAAAAATTTATTTTTGGATACAAATATATATATGACAAGATAGACACCACAAGAGTTTAGAGTTTATAGGTACCGAGCAAGTGCCTGTTTAGTTTCCAAAATTTTACAAAATTTTTAAGATTTTCCGTCATATCGAATCTTTGGACGCATGCATGAAGCATTAAATATAAATAAAAAATAAAACTAATTACACAGTTTAGACGAAATTCACGAGACGAATCTTTTAGGCCTAATTAGATTATGATTGGACACTAATTGCCAAATAACAACGAACGTGCTACAGTACCATTTCCCAAAAAAATTCGCCAACTAAACAAGGCCCAAGACCAAGCAATAAAAGCACTAATTAGAATAGTTAACTAACAAATTAGAGATTAACATGCTAACTAAGAATGCACTGTGGGGGCACCAAAATGTTGGGGGATGCCACCAGGCCCCCGAGCCCATCCCTCCACCACGATTCACTCTTCCCTTCATAAATGATAAATCGCCACCTGGAGCATCCACAATCTAGTAACGCTCATAGTCGTCAACCACAGGACCATCTTTACATACCATCGCTTAGAGTTTGAACCATCAAATGCATTTACCTTAAGCACATCAGCAAAATCACTAATCAAAAAATGTCTAAAATTAGGTTTTTGGATTGTTGGATATGTATTGCATTTTCATATTTAATTTAATCTAGAAAAATTGTAGCAAAGCATTCATGATGACATGTATGTGCACGTGTGATTCAGCTACTCGCAATAATAGCAAATATGCAAGGCATCATACTGATCAAAACAAAAATAGTACTAAAATTCACAAATTCAGTAAGTAGGGACACGGGTAGTGAAAGTGGTGGTGTCGAAGGGAGGGATGTGTGGTGGCACTTTGCAAAGCAAACAGATGCGTTTGAGAGGGAACACAAAGTTCCAATTCAAACTAAATGGTTCTAATGAAAACATAGTTGAAGATTCAAACATGGTTCAAAAGCGAAGAAAAAATGTCAATGGATATAAAATCTACATAGGTGATTGTGATGTCACACTACTACACAAATTCTTTTACACAACGTTTCACAATTGGGCTCTGTTGACGGTCACTAAACATCAATTATAAAACGTTAACACAACATGTATGTATACTTAATTCCATCACCAAACATAGGTATATGGGTTTAAACTAATAAATTCCATAAGTTTTGGTGAATCTGTGTTTTCAGCAGGGTTTATCCAGAAAACTGTCAAGGGGGATCTATTCGTCAAAGGAAATTATGAAATTCCGCCGTGTAATCGACGCGGGAAGACTCTAGAAGACTCCAGAAGGTGAATCACCGAAGCGGAGCACGTGTCTATGACATGTGGTGCCACCCGGCCCCAGCTAGAGCCCGCCTGACCTGTAGGCCCCCCATGTCAGCCTCCTGTTGCTATATCGGTTCTCCACCGCCTCCTAGGTTGCATCTATGTCGTTCTTTAAGTCGGTTTGATCTAAGGGCTCACGTTGGACGCTCCAGCCTATATATACCAGCCCGTGCCACCCTCTCTGGAGCCATCCTGAAACCCTAATTCATATTCTCCTCGTCAGGATCAGAGCCAGCTATCAAGAGAAGATTAGTTCTCTATAGGATCTAGTCTTATGAATAGAAATAGTGAGATAGAGAGTGAGGGAAGAGTTTGGAGGAGGTGCCGGCCTGTCGGTGCTCTCTTTACGGCCTGTACCTTGGTGGATCCAAGTTCTACTTGAGCTTGCCTTTGAGATATGTCTGACAAAACCTTAGGAAGTTCTAATAGCCAAATCACAACCACTTTAATCCTAAGATTTAGCTATCAATCCTAAACCACCAATACCCCAAAATCCCCCAAGAGAAGAAGGAATTCCACCTTTGGAAATCCCTGTTAAAATTAAGGATGACCTCTTTGGGGTTGATTTTGGGAGAAAATTAAATTCTCATCTTCATAAGAGATCTTCGAGCAAATATAATTTAAATCCTCTAAAGAAGGGATCTCTTAGAAAGCGTCCTTATTCTCATATAGGACATTGAAAAGAATTCAAGGATGACATTTTAAGTAATGCCATAGAAGGAGAGCTGAGCCATCTAGAAGCCATTCCTATCCTCTCCCCTTCTATGTCCACATTAGATGTCTCATCTAAACCCATCTTTCAACCCATCCTTGACCTCGATGATCCCTCTTATGCTCTCTCTCCTAAGTGTCATGATGACCCTTGAAATCCGCTAAGACAATCAAAGTATAGGAATCATGAAGGCCACAAGGATGACAAAAAAGAGCAACGACAATGGTTGGAATGTATTGAGAACTTGTATGCCATTCTTAAAGAATAGATGGACAAGGATGAAGCTGTAAGGAAAATGGACCCTAGGCCCATTTACTTTGGATTTTGGTGTTTGATGGCCAACACAACCAAATTGGACTAATGAATTTGCAAATAATTATTTTGTATTTCAATAGGGTGCAAGACGTGACTTGGACGAAGGCGACATTATGATCCCACTATCAACACCATAAGCAAGACCCTAGAAGCATAAGAGAGGACCTAAGATATCAAGCAAATTCCAAGCACGAAGATGGGAATCAAGCCGGACGTAAGATCGTGAAGAAACGAGCTCGACAGAGGTTTTATAGGGGCGACGGGTGCGAGGAAACCAACCGCCCACCTAGATCTCCACGCCTACCACGATCTACCACAACGTCTCGCTACGGGAAGTGCGCATGCAATCCCAGTTCTTGTGTCTCAATTGCCGATATAAACTTGTAGCCTATTTTCCTTGTCTCTCCTCCACCTCAAAACTTATTAACAATCATTTATTATACTTGCTCTAATCATCTAGACGGTTTAGATTTGGATAAGGGGGTATTAATTTTTTATTTACATAATGAGGTATTAATTTTTTATTGGCCCAGCAAGTACTAGTAGGCTATTTAATTTCATGTTGCATATAGGACGCGCGATTGTGCACGCACGGATCCATGGACTAAGAGCAAGGCTAATAATACATCGTTTGTTGGCTGTAAGGATCAATAGTACCTGTACCTAGCTTTGCAAGCATCTTTCAAGCAAATAGTATAGCCAGCTGTTGGCTGTAAGCATCAACAGTACTAGTACTTAGCTTCGCAATCAGAGCATCATTCAAGCAATTGACGCATATCTCTAATGATTCGGGGTCATTTTGATTGGGCTGGACTAAAACATCCTCAATTTTCCACAAGGGGAAAATTCCACAGAATGAATTATAATATGATGAAACCAAGAACTGATTCCATCATATTATCATATTTCAATCGATGTCACAGTCATACATCGTAAGATTACAAGAATACAAGATATTACATCACTGGGGAAACACACCTATTACAGAGTTAATCTAGCGAAAGACTATCGAGTGAAGGCTCCTCCTTCACGGGCATCATCAGAGTTGGCGTAGTGCGGCGTAGATTCCATCTCCGAACCAAACTTGAGCATAGGCACGAGACCTCCTAATCCTTTTAAAGTTAGCATCTCTGAGAAGCAGGAAAATCTGTACACCGCCAGATGTGTGCAGGCCATGGTCAGCACCGATGAGCTTTAGTGGAAAAGATAAAACAAGAGGATCTGGCGATCCTAACATTTGGCTGTGGTTTGCATCCTTAGCGCATGAGAAGTAAGTAACAGTAGTAATGTAATAATAATGTCCAGTTTTTAACACATTCCCATCATCACACATCCACATCCAGCCATATCCATCCACCAACCATCCATCCCAAACCATCTCCACACCACCACACCTTATCTCATCTCACTCACTCAGGTCGACAGGCCAACTCCCTCTCAGCCTTGTCTCAACGGCCCGTAGCCCCAAGGCTCACGACCGGAAAATACCCCAACCCTAGAGGGAGAATAGAAGGACTCATCTCCTATCTAGTTTAAGCGAAACCCAGGAAAGGTCCATAGCCGACAAGTCGACATATGTATCGATCGATCAACCATACACTCTGCAGAGGTTTTACATACCCACAAGATTAGCCATCCTCGGAGCCATGTATCTCCTAGGCAGAATTCTAGTTGCTTGCTAGCCTAGAACGATGCCACCCTACCTCTCAGCCCTAGAACATCCCAAGTCTAGTCTGGGATGGCTGATACTGTGAGTCGTAGACAGAGCCGGGGCCCTCCGGATGTCAAGAGCCGGGTCCACAAGGCCTCCTGAAGTCTCGGAAGGGTGTGGGGGAAAACCGTGCGCCCCATACCTCCTTGCATATGTTCGCCTAGCAGTAGTGGCATCGCTCTACCAAGTAGTCCGACCGTCCCGCACCATATAGGGCAAGTGGGATGTAAAGGATTCCCGGTGAATCTGAGTACTAGTAAGTCCTTAGGGGTGACCAAGCCA